GAGAGAGAGAGAAGGAATTTTATAATTTTAACTTTTCAGTAAAAACAGTAATTGCTCCCATGTCAGTGGAACATATTATGAAGTAATAATTCAGGGTCCTTAAATCCCACATGGTTTTCCACAGGTCACACCACATCAACGGTCCCTTCATGTAGTAAATCAGAAGAATTAACATCTACAGAAACCAGGCGACCCGTCTCATAGCACATGTCTCACAGGAACACAAGGTGGATACTAAACAGTGGACGACATGATTAAACATCAGTGCTTTTCTTCTCTCCCTGCTACAGAAATCATGGGAAGAAAAAGCACCAGGTGGCCCCTACCTTTTCAGCTCATCCTTGCAAGTGTCAAGGTGATACTTCAGCAGCCACAGCTCCGGACCAGAGGACAACAGGATAAAGGTGTCCATGTAGTAGAACTGGGCAACCTGCACAGGCTGAGGAAGTGCTTCTCTGCCCTGAGAAGCAGGCTCATGGTTACTGCAATGCCACAAACACCACACGAAGCAGCACTGCCCCAAACACAGATCCTTGAGCCCCCATGTGTATGCATGCTTGTAAGGACTCATGTACAGTGGCATTTCTGCTTGCTCAGTCACTGAAAGAGTTACGTGGCTAAATATTACTGTAGTGAATATTGAAATCAACCCATTAACAATCTTTACTATGAAGGAAATTTGAAACCTTGCAGTAAGTATTTTATTAGAGTTAAAATTTAAGGTATGTTTTATAACACAGCTGTGGCATTTATTCTCAGTTACAGCTCAATCAAGGACCCCGACTCAGAAGCTGATGGTAATGACAGCTCTGGAACAACTACTCCCTCCTTGGGGACCCACCAGACGCTTTCCGATAGGGTGCTCGGTCTTAGCTTACTCACTTTCCTTCCCCCACTTGCAGTGGGACCTGAGCAGCCCATAGAGCATGGAGGTGTCCCTGGCCACTGGCAGCTAGCTGGGAGTGCAGCTCCTGCTGCCTCCCAGCACTACCAAGAAACATCATACACTGCTTGCTCAGGGAAAAATCAAAACTGAAAACTCAAAATACACTTTCTGCTGAATGCCTATAATTTTCACACCATCATAAAGTCAAAACATCTTACATCAAACTATCATAAGCAAGGACTCTCTGCATGGTGGTAGATGCCTGTAATCCCAGCACTCTTGAAGTTCAGGCAGGAGGATCACAAGTTCAACTCTAGCATGCTGGGAAACTTAGTGACGTGGTGAGAACTAGTCTCAGAACATAAAATAAGGGCTAGGATGTAGATCAGTGACAGAGTGACCCTGAGTTCAATTCCCCAAGACAGAAAGAAGAAGGGGAGGAGAGCAGAGGGGAGAGAGGGAAGAAGAAATACTAAGCAATAGATTAACCTCTCCAATATTTGGAATCCAGATTCTGAAGAATAACAACTTGGGGAAGAGAGGAAGAAGAGGGGTGATCCCTGGGACCCAGGAAGACTCCTGGAACCTGCTGAGAAAGTAGACAGGCAACCACAAGTGCAAATGAGGAGATGGACCACAGCACAGAAGGAGAAGGCAAACTGCACTCTGCTTCCTCCCAGCTCTTGGTATGAGAGAGCAGAGAGACGCACCAGTGGGTGGAGCGTTGGAGGCTGTGTGTCACAGGCCCCATAAGCGACTCCAGTCCAGGTGACAGCAGTGCTCCCTGGGGAGAATGCTTGGTCAGCACAAGAACAGAATATTAAAAGCTGTTAGATAAAAGAAACTTATCAACTATAAAGGAAAGCCCATCAGAACTACAGCAGACATCTCAACACAAAACCTTAAGTCAAGGAGAGCTTGGAGTAAAGTATTTTAAGCCCTAATAGAAAACAATCTCCAACTCACATTGAGGTACCTTGAAATATTCTTTCAAAACTGATGGCAAAATAAGATATTTCCATAATGAAGAAATTCATGACCACCAAACCAGCACTCCAAAAATTTCTGAAGGATATTCTAGAAAGGTCAGCAAAGACTACAAGTCCATGAAACCCAATAGAATGAATCAACTAGGGAAGGCAAACAATTAAACAGAGGGGAAATAAAGAGAACCAACAAAAGGAAAATAATGTGACAAGAATAAATCAATACAGGGGCTGGGGATTTAGCTCAGCGGCAAAAGCGCCTGCC